GACTCCACATGGCTGGGAGCTGTTCCACCTGCCCGATGCGCGCTGTCCCTCCAACCCCCAGAACCCTGCACCCACAGAAAACAGCACCCACGAACCCTTTCCTAGCCAACATCCCTCTGAAATTCTCCCAGCACATGCATATTTTATTTCTTCCAGCTGCACGAGTTTGTATGGCTTTTAGGCTGTGTTTTTACCTGGTCATATCTTTCCTTGCTCATGTGTTCAGTTTCTCTGTCTCTCTCTCTGTCTCGGGACTGAGGCAGAGGTGGGGGCTGGAGGGGAAGAGGGTGAGGCCTCCCTGACTTTCAGTCTGTCCTGGTTGACTGAGAAGGAAAATGTCCATCTGAGCAGGTGGGACTGGGGGATAGGGACAAAGGCTAGTGGCTTCCTTGCACGCACTGACAGATGAGCTGAGAAACTGCCTCTTCCAAATCTGTCTCCTCCCTGTGGGTGGTCCCTGGAGAGCTATTCCATAGGTCCATTGAAAAGTAAGGGAGTAAAAAGTGCCCCTTTTTAATCTGCCACGGGGTTCCCTTTGCCCTTGTCCTGGACCCTATCCCAATCTATCATTATGTTGTTTGCTTGTTCAATTTCTTTCTCTTCCCACTAGAATAAAAGCTCACAGAAGGCAGGCTTAACTTATTCACTGCCACCAAAAGTGTTCAGTGAATAGATGAGAGATCCATGTCTGTGTAGGAATTGTGCAGCCAGGGCAAGAAGGTGGGGCGGGCTGGGGTGGTGTTTCCAGGTGAGGGGGATGTAGTGACAAGGACTGTGGCGGGAGGAGGAAGGAGGCTTGGGAGGCAGTGAGAGTGGGTGGAAAGGGATTGGAGGGGCACTGGGGAAGACATGGGATGGAAGCACATAGAATTGGAATCAGGGGGTGTGGGCTTTAGGGACAGGAATCCAGGTCCCAGAGGAGCTAGAGAGGAGGCAGGGCCTTTGGGGAGGAGAAGGTCAAACCTGGTACGAGGAGCCAAGGACAAGGGCTGCCCTCCACAAGACTAAGTCTGAAGCGGACTGGGCACAGTGGCACGCACTTGTAATCTCAGCACTCTGAGAGCTAAAGCAGGAGGATTACAAATTTATCCCAGCCCCTCCCTCCTCCAAAAAACCCCAAATTTATCCCAGCCCAGGCAGTGTAGTAATTCAGCAAGACCCTATCTCAAAATAAATAATAATTACAAAAAAAAAAGAGGCTGGGGGTGTAGCTCAGTGTGAAGACCCTGGATTCAGTCCCCAGTACTTAAAAAAATGGGGGCCTGTGGACAGAGCAGAGGGAATGCAGGGTCACCAAGACCAACTGAGCTTTAGAGATTTCCCAGAACCTGCTGGTTCCAGCAATGTGCCTCCAAATCACTCCATTCCCATATCTGGGCTGGATGCCCAGCCCAAGTGCCCTGCTCTTAGCCTTGTAAACCCATAAACAGGAAATGCCCCAGGCTGGGCTGACCTTAGAGAAAAAGCCAGTGGTCTTCCTCTAGTTGGGGAAGGTGCTCCAAGGTAGCGGGGGTTCCGACCCTTTGATTATCTACGTCAGTGGTGGCGAACCTATGGCATGTGCACCGCAGCAGGCTGTTTGTTATCACTGAGAACTCTAGAAGGTTCACCATTACTGAACCTTTCTATGCTATATTCAGTGAGGCCCTTTTGGAGGCCGTCATCCACCCAAATCAAAGGTGACAGCAATATTAACTCATTAGCTCTAAGCACCCAGAGGAAGTTGGGTGGGAGGGAGAAATTCCTCACAGGCCTCAGCCTGGTCCCTTGGACCTTTCCCCAGCCCAGAGGTCCCGGTGCTACCCAGAGGGCAGGTAAGGGACAGGGGAGTGGCCTGCAGTGGGGACAGGGAGATACTCATCAGAGGGGTGGCGTCTTCCCTAGAATTGGCCAGAGTGGCTGTAGGGGGGCCAGGGGTAACAGGAGGTTGGAGGTGCACACCTGCAGTGGTTGTCATGGAAACTGGGCTTGGATCCCAAGGGGGTGACCTCTTCCCCAAAGCCCTGTAAAGTCTGGAACATAAAAGTGGAGACAGGGGCTGGGGATTTAGCTCAGTGGCAAAGCGCCTGCCTGGCAAGCACAAGGTCGTGAGTCTGATTCCTAGTACTGGAAGAAAAACAAACAAACAAGAGTGGAGACACATGCACACGTGCGTGGACACACACACACACTTATACACATGTACACACACATGCTGAACTCCACTCAGAATGTTATGTCCTCCTCCCTATTTCTGCACATGAGGCTAAAACCAGGGAGGGGCAATGAGGAGAGCACGGTTGGGGCATCACGTGGGCAGTGTGCCTGGGCTGTCGAGGACAGGTACATACTCGGCCGACCCAACCCTATCCTGCAGCCAGACCACAAAGGAGAGGGAGGTGATTAACAAAGACAACAATAATCACAGTTAACTTTAATTGAGAGCTTATTAAATCCAGCCATGTGGTTCTAGTAAGCATTTTATAGGCAATGTCCCATTTGACGCTCACAGTAATTTGAGGTAAAAACTATGAACCCCATTTGCAGATGAAAAAACAGATCTGAAGAAGTTCAATGACTTGGTGCAGGTCAGGGAGCTGGAAAGAGATAGAGGAAGACTGCAGGAAGGGAGGAGGCAGAGAGGTGCTGGCCTCTAAGGCCATTAGTCCCATCCCCTGGCCCATGGGTCGCTCCCACTCAAGTGACCCCTGGTATACCCTGGCAAGCCTGTGCTGGTACCATGCCAAGAGGCAGGGCCTGGAAACCTCAGATCCCGGTGCCTGCCTGGGCTGGGCCGAGCCAGCTGAGGGCAGCTGTGAGGGTCTAGGGTACATGGAGCAGCGGGCATCGTGATTGGCACGAGCCAGGGGAGCGGCTGGCAGCCTTGTTCCTGATAAACACGAGGAGAGGTTACTTCACAAGGAAACAGTAATTAACTTTAATTAGCACCTTGCATCTCGGAATATTATTAACATCTCAATTTCTCTAATCAAGGCAGCAGGAGAGGGGCGGCATCTGCTTTGCTGACTCCTTCCTGGCCATACTCCCTGGCTTGGCTTGGCTCCTGCATGGCCCCACCCCCCTGGATGGTGCCCAGGAGTACCTCCTCTGGGGTGGGTTGCCAATGGGAGTTGGGAAGTGGGGCTTGGGCTGGCAGGTCAGAGAGAGGGACAGGCCAACGACACACAAGCTGGGCCGGCCAAGCAGGGGCGGGAGGACAGGGCTCTCTATGTGGCTACCTTATTTTCCAAACAGAATAGATGGCTGGGCATGGTGGAGCACGCCTGTAATCCCAGCACTGGGGAGGCTGAGGCAGGATGATCGTTGTGAGTTCTAGGCCAGCCTGGGCTACAAAGTGAGCTCAAGGCCAGCCTGAACTGCATAGTGAGACCCTGTCTCCAAAAAAAAAAAAAAAAACAACAAACAAACAAACCAACCAAATAGAATAGATGCTCCCAAGGCAGGGTTGGCTTGTGTTCCCAGGTCCGGAGAACAGACATGGCTGCCTTGCTGTTTGTCCTCCGTCTTTCCCTCTCTCTGCTTCTCTTCCTTCATTTCTCCCTTCATTTCTCCCTTCCTTCTCTCCCCTCCCCTCCTCCCTCTCTTTTTTTGAGCTGGCCTCCTTTTTTCTGTCATTCTCCCTTCTTTCTCTTCCTTTTCCCCTAGTTCCCCTCTCCTCCTCACTGGGATTCTCCATTTCAACAAGCATATGCAGTACCTTGGTTCACCAACTTGATTCTTTCCACAATTCTGATGGCAAACAGAACTGGACGAGATCAAATCAAATTTCCGCATAAGGTCAACATTAAACTTAACCACTGAATTTTATTCGGTTCTCATCCAACTTGGTTTGTGACCAGAACCACGGAAAGAATCAAGTCTGTGGCAGAGGTACCTCTGTAGTGAGTCGCACTCCCAGCACAGGTGCTCTGCAGTACCCCATCTCTGGGATAGAGCAGTGGGCAGGGGATAAATCCAGCCCTTGGGGTAGTTTAGAATCCCACAGGGGAGACAAGGCTTGGCTTAGCTAATCTGGCTGCCCTACTAATAGGCATCATAAGGTAAGAGAGGTACAAATAAAGTGCTGTGGGGTCCTAGGAGAGGTAGGAACGGGTGAAGCTAGGGCTCTAATTATAGATCACTAGAGACCATCTCAGGCACATGAGGGCAGAGGCATCTAGAGCACTTGGTATAGATCTGTCCTCTTTAGAAGGTCATCACAAGGAGGGAAGTCCCTGAGGGTGCAGGAAGTGACTCTTCATTATCCCCACCCTCAATGGTTGTCAACCCTGCCGCATGTCTGATATTAATTGACTACCCTCCTTGGTCTAATTGCAGTGGCCTAGAGCTTGCACAATTTGTTATTTATTTGGTAGTGTCCCCAGAGCTCTCTCTCCTGTTTTATCCAATTTGAATTTATTGAGCACCTACTATATGTGGAGGGCTGGGTCTGCCCTGGAGTAGTTACCAAGGGCCATTGTCCTCTCTATTGGGATTGGAGGGGGTCACAGAAAAGCTGCCTAGAGGCCTGGGCATTTCAGCAAAAAAGCCCTGACAGTGTAAGCAAAGGAGGAGGCTGGGTCCTTGGCCTCAGCACCCCTTGCCTGCTGCTGCGCTTGGGTGCCCACATGGACGCTGCAGGCTGAAGTGCAGCTGCTCAGCGTTAACACAGAGGGCAGTGAGATGTTCGGCAGAGGCTGCCGTCTCTGGCCTCCTAGTGGGGAGGGCACTCACCACTTGATCTTTATCTCTTGGCTTGGGAAACTGACTGAGCATCAAGCCACCAAGTGCCGGGTGGGAGCAGTCACACTGGACCGCCTTGCTAATGCGGGCAGGAAACCAGGATGGCCGTTCCCTTTCCTTTGCTCTCATGCTGTTCATCAGGTAGGACCAACTTTCCTGAGGCCTTGAGCATTCACTTCATTCTCGCAGCTACCTGGACAGGCAGGAACTCTTAGGCTCATTTTATAGCTGAGGACACAAGACAGAGAGGTGAAGTCACACTGCTGGGAAGAAAGTAAAAGCAGGGTGGGCAAGCACTGCTGCGATCACTTCCTTAATTGCAGTCTCCTCACTTTATTGTGAGCTCCCCGCCCAGGCCCATCTGGAGCTGGGGCACTGGGGGAGGCCTGGGCATGGACCCTGGCTTAAGAACCAGAAGAAGGGCCACTGGGCTGTTAGCAAACAGAGCCTGTGGCTCTCCCTCTTCGACTCCTCCCTACCTTCCTGCGGGCTCCAGCTCCCGAGGGCCGGGGGCTGGGCCTCTATAATTGCAGAGCAGCTTACATAGGCGGGGAAGTGTCTGGCGTTTCCAAAGGCCGTTTTGATGTTGATGATTATGGCAATGATGAGGCTGTCCTTCTCCTACCAAGGCTGGAGCCTTTCTTTGTTTCCTCTCCACTGGGGTCTCATCTCCACCCTGAGGTCTGGCGTCTCCGGAGAGGACTAGCACTGGTTTCCCTGTGGGGGAGGAAGGGAACAGATTTGGCCAAAGTGAAGTGTGGAGATCAGCCCACCCTTTACCTTTTCCAGGATGGGCAGAGGGGTGCAGCGATGTGATCATTAGCATAACATTTGCATAAGGAACAATTGAGGAGATTGGAGTCTGCCTCAGAGGAAACACCTGCAAGGAACTGTGAATGAAAGCCTCTCCACCCCCACCCGAGGTCCTCCCTCCTCCCGCCCTCACCCCAGGATCCAGCGGAAGTGGCAGGAACTCAGCGTGACTAATGATGGCGACCAGTTGTAACTCACAGAGTGCCTACTAAGTGCCAGATGCCGATGTGGATGTTCTGTTTCTCTTGCTCTTTGCACACAGCCACCCTAGGTGGTACTTTTTTGTTGTTGTTGTTTGGTTTTTGAGATAGGGTCTTATTCCTGTAGTCCGGACTGATCTGGAACTCACTATGTAGCCCAGGCTGGACTCCAACTCGTGTCCTCCTGTCTCAGCCTCCCTGAGTGCTGGGATTATAGTCTTGTACCACCACACCTGGCTGGGTGATGCATTTCGTGATCCCCATTTTACAAAGGAGGAAGACGAGGCTCCTTCCCCCTGTCACACGTATAGTCATAAAGATTACATTAGTGGCAGAGCGGGGCTTTGGAAAAAAGTCTGATTAAATGTCCCCGTGTCTGACACCAGGACAGGGTGCTCCGGGTACCCTCAGGCTCCAAGATCTAATCTCTGTGGGGTGCCAGGGATCCCGGGAAACTAGGAACCAGAGTTTAAAGACAGGCTCGGGGGCTGGGGATTTAGCTCAGCGGCAAAAGCGCCTGCCTGGCAAGCGCAAGGTCGTGAGTTTGGTTCTCGGTACCGGAGAAAAACCAAAAACAAAAAAAAAAAAAAAAAGACAGGCTCCTTCCACCCACTCACACAAGTGCTCACACACATATATGCACAGTGTTCTGCCCATCCCCCACTGGCTTCTAGAGGCAAAGGAGCTGGCTGACTTGGCCCATAACCAGGTTAGCCAAGATCCAATTAACTAGTTAGCGCAGGCAGAGCTGGGGGCAGGCAGGGCGCGCAGGAGAGCGGGACGGATGGGTCGGGTAATGTGCAGAGACAGCTAGAGACAGCGGCTCCGCTTTAACTTGATAAGCAGCTCCCAGCATCGATGTGTGGGCCTGGCAGGCTGAGGAACACGATCCTGAGTGGCTGGGGGTGGGGTAGTGCCAGGTCGGCCTCTGACCCCCTCTCCCCATCGCCCCCCACCCCGCAGTCGCTGCACAGTGCCCTAAGCCTGTGGCCTTCCCTCAGCAGCCTTCAGCTCCTGTTCTGTCTCCTCTCAAGTCTGTGAGGCAGGCAGCTTCAGAGAGAAACATTTTCATTCAAATGAGGCCAAGGAGGAGAGCCATGGATATCTGTTATCATACAAGGAAGGTATGGGTGCAAGAAGCACCCTGAGATCAGAGGATGGGAGTAGGAAGCTGCTGGAGGAGCTCATCAAGGAGAGAAAATTAACAATAGCCACTATTTATGGAGCCCACCCCGCACAGGCACCGTGCAAGCCATGATGTGTACTATCCCATTTATACTCCCAGTAACCCTTTGCTGTAGTTATTATTAGAAGCCTCGTTTTGCAGATGAGAAAATAAAGGCTTAGAGAGGTTAAGACACTTAGCAAGGTCACACATCAATCAAGCAGCCTTGGCTGTAAAACCTCCACACTCTGCAACCTCTGGGCTAGATAAGTGTTAGAGTTTACAAAGGTTTCCAGGCGTTGTGGTGCATGCCTGTAATCCCAGCACTAAGGAGGCTGGGGCAGGAAGACCGCCAGGAATGTGAAGCCAGCCTGAGGCACATAGTAAATTTAAGGGCCAGGAATATAGCTCAGTGGTACAGCGCCTGCCTGGCAAATGTGAGGTCCTAAGTTTGATTCCCGGTACCAAAAAAAAAAGTTATCCAATCAGAATGAGTTCAAGGCCAGCATGAACTACATAGTAAGACCCCGTCTCAAAAAAATAGCCAAAAAAGAGGCTATTACAGAGGCTTTTTATTTTTGGCTGGGATTTGGTGGCACACACCAATAATCCCAGCCACGTGAGGCAAGAGGATTGCAAGTTTGAGCCCAGCCTGGGCAGTTTAGTGAGACTCGATCACAAAATAAAGCAAAATAAAAATAAAGGGCTGGGGATATAGCTCAATGGTGGAGCATTTGCCTAGCATGTGTGAGGCCCTAAGTTCAATCCCCAGTACCACAAACAACAACAAAAACACAAAAACCAAAGATATCTGCAGTTATCATAGGTGCTTGTTTTATTTCTACTGTCTGTTTTAAAGATAAATGAAATCGGCAGGGTATGGTGGCGCACACCTGTAATCACAGTACTTGAGAGGCTGAGGCAGGAGGATCGTTGCAAGTTCGAGACCAGCCTGGGCTACAAAGTGAGCTCAAAGCCAGCCTGAACTGCATAGCGAGACCCTGTCTCAAAAAGATGAAAAATAGGGGCTGGGGATTTAGCTCAGCGGCACAGTGCCTGCCTGGCAAGCACAAGGTCGTGAGTTCGATTCCTGGTACTGGAAAAAACACACAAAAAAAGACAAAAAATAAAGTAAAATAAAAAATAAATGAATGGAGGCCTGCAGGGGCAAATGTGACTTGTCCAGAGCCCCACGACTGGTAAATACCAGTCAGAATTTGAACCCAGGCCAGTTCTGACTTTTAGTCTAGTACTTTTGAGAAAAGGGAAAAAGAAAAAGACATCGTCTCCTTAAGCCAAGGTGGGCCGTTAGTCCACGTTTATCACCGCTTATTGGAAGCCCAACGGATGCAGTGGACCCTGCTGGGAGTGCTCCTTCAGGGGTGGTGAAAGCAAGCAGCTTCTAGTTTTTACACAGCAGCCAGAGAAGAGAGCCCTGAAGCCAGTGTCCATGGACTTGGGGCTGCCTTGGTCAGGGGACTCCAGGGAACGAAGGACCAAAAGACATCCTTTCTCTGCTCCTTATGGCACCGGAACCACCAGGCGAGCTCTGGTTTGATTTCCTTATGTTTTTCAAGAGCCGCATCTAGGCCAGGTGTGGTGGAATACGCCTGTAATCCCAGCACGTGGGAGGCTGAGGCAGGAGGATCATTGTGAGTTAAGAGGCCAGCCTGGGCTACAAAGGGAGCGCAAGGCCAGCCTGAACTGCATAGCAAGAACCTGCCTCAAAAAGACAAAAAAAGAAAGAAAAAAAGAAAAAAAGAAAAGCTGCATCTAGGGGCCAGGGATATAGCTCAGGTCTCTCGTTTGATTCCCAGTACCAGAAAAAAAAAAAAGCTACATCTAAAGCAAAGCTCAGAGAGTTAAGGAACTTCCCCAGGTATCTGTCTGTCTGTCTCTGTCTCTCTCTGTCACACACACACAAAGGAGACAGAAATGTAGACCAGACTTGTTTCCTCTTAGTCCCCACATTCATGGCAGGATGGGGGCTTCATAACCATACAAGTCCCAAGCTCTGGCTGGTGTCCCCTCACCCGCTAAGAGTGAAGAAGCAGACACTAGGCCACTTGTGCCTAGGGGAAGTGTCCCTGTCTCCCTCACTGCGTAGAGGATCAGCTGAATTCTTGCTACATGGGGCAGTCTGAGGGCTTGGGGTCTGGGTGCAAGGATGATCATATTGAGTAGGGCAGAGTAAGAGGAATGCTGTACCCGTGCGGGATGCAGGGTTTGCAAAGGCCGTGTACGCAAGGACATGTGTGCACATGTGTTGCTCTCTGTTATCTCTGATACCAGCACCGGAAGGGTTAAGACGCCCCGGCCCAGGGGACTGGAGTTGTCTGCACAGGAAGCTACTCTCCCAGTCCCCAGGCCTCTGGGGAGGGGGAGGGGAGTGACTTCTCAGTCTCTTTCCCAGGCTCTTCAGCTTCCCTGGGGACCCAGCTACATGCCAGAGAGGCGACCCTTGACCCAGCCCCCTGCACACCCCCCAGCTGGGTAAAGATTCTGAGCCTAGCTCAGGGCCTTCGAGTGAGAGCTCCCCTACATCTCCACCTCCACCTCGCTCTTTCCCACCATCCACTTATTCTCTGTAGTGCCTCACCCAGCTCCTGTTCCACATTCACCAGATTCAAATCCCCGAACTTCTTCCTCCGTTCCAGTCCTGGCCCCCACCCGCCCAGTCTTTGCCCCCCCCCTCGCCCCTGCATTTGTAATCTTCTAAAAATAAAAGCCTGTGATCCAAGTAGGCAACTCCGGAAATATACAATCCAGCCCAGGCATCCGCCGGGTGGGGTGGGGGACGAGGAAAGACCCTCAAACAAAGAAGTACCGGGACCCAGCAGCCCCACATCCCCAGGTAAACACCGGAACACAGTCTGTTCCTGAGGAGACGGCAGCAGCGAGGGGCGGAGGGTGTGGTGGGGGTAGGAGGGAGGGCTACACTGCTGAGGGCTTTCAAGCTAATGTCCCAGGAAAAGAGTCTCCTGATTGCTTCCCTGTCCGTTGTCACAAGCAGGTGACCCCCTCCTACTTTCTCAAAATTGCTGGGAGAAATGCACATGCCATACGGCATCCCCAAGCGAAGGCCAGCCTGGTCCAGCCAGAGTCACAAGTGAAGCCCTGGGAAATCCCCACAGGTTTGGGTCCCATGCCCTGGGCATCGTGTCGCCCTGCTTCCCAGTGATGCGGAAGGGCCGCTGCAGGTAAAGCTGTTCCTCTGCCTCCGCCTGGGGCGCTGGCCAGGACAGGAGCCAGAGAGGATACAGGAGGGGGATCATTTGAGATCTGCCTGTGTTTCCAGTTATGCTCCCAGGGGGTCGTGGGAAAGGGGGGTCTACAGGGGCCTCACAGGACACTCCAACTCTTCTGTGGCACTCTAGGGCCACATCCTCAGAGTGGCAGCAGGACTAGTACTATATATCACACCAAGTTTTGATAAGATTCAGTCTGAAACTGGGCCCTATGGTATTCCTGACTAGAATTTTTTGTCTTGCAATGTAGTTCAAATTGGCCTAGAATTCACTGTATAGCCCAGACTGGCC